CTTCGTGTTGTTGCAGTTTCTGCTTCTTGCTGTGATTTTCTCGTTCGTTTCCTTCAGTTTTTGTGACTTCCTGGTTTCTTTCCATTAGTTTGCGCCGACAACAACCACGTCCGGACCTGGACGGTGACCCGGTTCAGAGGGATGATCTCCACTCAGCCTGGATCGACGCCGCTCACCTCCTTTAAGATCCTCAGCCTGGACGACGTGGACGGACACGGAGGCTGCAGCGCCGGGACCGAGATCGGTAACGACACCGACCAATCACAGAGCTCACAGCACCAGATGCATTTGCTGTTACTGTTGTAGTTCTGCTGATGTCCAGCAGAGGTCACCGTGGCGCTCTGAGTACGTTTGTCGGATTTCAGATCGTTTTGGTTGATCTCAGGTGTTTGTTTGTGGTTTCAGGTCCGTATGGAGAAAGAGACGACCAGCAGGTGTTCATCCAGAGAGTCGTACCAGACACCGATAAACTCTACGTCAGGCTGTCGTCCAACGGAAAGAGGTCGCAAACACGTTTACCATGTTTTACTCATTAAAGCACTTCTCAGCATCTTCTGTCAGGAGGTCTTCTGGCCTTAAATAGAGTTTCTGCAGGTCTGAGAAGGTTTCAGGTTCCTCCTTAGAAGATACCAACAAGCCTTTAATACACAAGGTCTGAAATAGTAAATTATATCCTTAGATTTATTATTATAACAACAACAATAATGTTATAAAAGTTTGTCTCTTCAGCCCATTTTTTCCGCCTTTACATGAGTAATATGTGGACGAGAAGTTCTTTCTAATTAACTTCACCCTCCGTCCATTTCTGCTGCTAATGAGAACGTTGGACAGTGTTTACATCAGAGCTTCAGGGACGATTATTTTAATTACAGATTGTTTGGTTGATCATTCTATCTGCAGAGACGCTGTGAGACTGGATCTCAGGGTTCGGTTAAGTTTATGTGTTTAGTTGTGATGGATGATATCAGACCGAGTGTCCTCACTAATGTATGAATCAATCGGGGTGTGTTCAGGGTGTGCGAGGTGCGCTCGGTGGACGGGACGTCCATCACGGCCTTCATGGTCCACGAGTGTGAAGGTTCGAGTCGCATCGGCTCTCGTCCTCGCCGCTACCTGTTCAGCGGCCACAGCAACGGCAGCATCCAGATGTGGGACCTGACCACCGCCATGGAGATCGCTGGGAAGGTGGACATCAGAGGTCAGACACGAGCTCCTAACGCTTAACTCAGGCTGCTCTGTGATTGGTCGCTGACTGACTGACTGCTCTGATTGGCTGTTGCAGCGCTGGGCGGGCCCACGGAGGAGGAGCTACTGGAACTGCTGGACCAGTGTGACCTGGCTCTGACCCGAACACCGGACAGCACGCCGAGGGCCTCCACCTGCAGGTAGGAATACACAACACATGACATCATCACTCACCTGAGCTTCACAGGTACGCCGACGACACGGTTCTGTTGATCTGTGGCTCCTGACAACACCAACGGAGTAAACGGATCATCAGATGGAGGAATTTTAGAATATATTTATGTTTAATCATAGTTTGTTTTTAAACAGGTTCAGTTTGACGCTTAAAGTTTCACGATAATTTCAAAAAAACACATCGATTAACAGAAAGTAACAGAAACCTGCTGGACTGGAGCAGTGAAACTATTTCAATTCATGCTTCCTGTTGTAGTTTACTCTGCTTCTTCTTGTTAATATTTAGTCTACTTCC